AGAGAGAGAGAGATTCAGACAGACAGACAAAGAGAGAGAGAGAGATTCAGACAGACAGACAGACAGAGAGAGAGAGATTCAGACAGACAGACAGAGAGAGAGAGATTCAGACAGACAGACAGACAGACAGAGAGAGAGAGATTCAGACAGACAGACAGACAGACAAAGAGAGAGAGAGCGAGATTCAGACAGACGGAGAGAGCTCCTGGGTGGAAACGTGACTCTAGATAGATCTCCCCTCTCTCTCTGGGCTCCCTGAAAAAGAGATTATAAAATGTCCTGGTTAAATAGTGGTCAATATCAAGTTAAATTTCAAATAGTTTCACATAGTTTCAGTCTTTGGTCCGTGATGGCACCGGTCCCCAGCCTGGATAAACTGAACACAGACATACCTGGGATTAGCTTAAATAATGCTACAAGATAAACCCAGGTGTTAAACAGGTTAAGACTAAACCAGGATTTAACCCGGGATTATGAAGTGAGCCTGGATTAAAGTGAGACCAGACCTGATCCAGACTGGTCTCAACACTAGTCACACAGAACTGAACCACGGACTTTGCCACATCAAGGACTCAGAGATTAATGAGGATGGGACTATGGAGCAGGGGGTTATGGTCTCGCCCTCCGACCATGTATTGGTTTGAACTCCGAAAAAACTATGATGGAGCGAGACAAGTTTATTTGATCTCTCTGGTCTCTCTCTCATCTCTCTGGTCTCTCTCATCTCTCTGATCTCTCTCCGGTCTCTCTCATCTCTCTGGTCTCTCTCTCATCTCTTCGGTCTCTCTTATCTCTCTGGTCTCTCTCATCTCTCTGGTCTCTCTCTGGTCTTTCTCTGATCTCTCTCTCATCTCTCTGGTCTCTCTCATCTCTCTGGTCTCTCTCCGGTCTCTCTTATCTCTCTGGTCTCTCTCATCTCTCTGGTCTCTCTCTGGTCTTTCTCTGATCTCTCTCTCATCTCTCTGGTCTCTCTCATCTGTCTGGTCTCTCTCCGGTCTCTCTCATCTCTCTGGTCTCTCTCTCATCTCTTCGGTCTCTCTTATCTCTCTGGTCTCTCTCATCTCTCTGGTCTCTCTCTGGTCTTTCTCTGATCTCTCTCTCATCTCTCTGGTCTCTCTCATCTCTCTGGTCTCTCTCCGGTCTCTCTCATCTCTCTGGTCTCTCTCCGGTCTCTCTCATCTCTCTGGTCTCTCTCTCATCTCTTCGGTCTCTCTTATCTCTCTGGTCTCTCTCATCTCTCTGGTCTCTCTCTGGTCTTTCTCCGATCTCTCTCTCATCTCTCTGGTCTCGCTCTGGTCTCTCTCATCTTTCTGGTCTCTCTCTCACCTCTCTCTGGCCTCTCTCTCTAATCTCTCTCCCTGTATATTCTCATAACTTCATCATTTCGTCTCCTTCTTCTTTACCGGCTGCAGAGACATCTCAAAAAAACGTGGCCCAATCAAAAGAGACTCCATAAAACCATGGACCTTTGTCTTTTGCGTCGGTTGATGGTCCACGTCTGAAGTATTTGGAGCTAATCTTGGCGATGCAGTAACACAGCGGAGTCAGAGGCAGGATAAGCCTGTGGACAGGATTACATATCGATCCTGGACCTCTCTCTATTCTCATCACACAAGCACCACTCACTGTCAGAGCGGCCATCTTTTTTATATCTATGACTAAAAATGATGTGGAAATCAACAGCTAAGGTTGTTTTGTTTTTGTTTTAAATCTGGTCTGTTTTTTTTCTGGTCTCTCTTTCGTCTTTCTTTAGTCTCTCTGGTCTTGTATCTCTGGACTCTCTCTGTCTTGTCTGTCTGGTCTCTCTCTTTCGGGTCTCTCCCCTTGGTCTCTCTCTGGTCTCTCAGTCTGGTCTCCCCCTGGTCTCTCTCTAGTCCCGCTCTGGTCTCTCTCTGGTCTCCCCATGGTCTCTCTCTTGTCCCTCTCTGGTCTTTTTCTGGTCTCAAGTCTCTGTCTCTGGTCTCTCTCTTTCGGGTCTCTCCCTTTGGTCTCTCTCTGGTCTCCCAGTCTGGTCTCCCCCTGGTCTCTCTCTAGTCCCGCTCTGGTCTCTCTCTGGTCTCCCCATGGTCTCTCTCTTGTCCCTCTCTGGTCTTTTTCTGGTCTCAAGTCTCTGTCTCTGGTCTCTCTCTTTCGGGTCTCTCCCTTTGGTCTCTCTCTGGTCTCCCAGTCTGGTCTCCCCTCTGGTCTCCCGTCTGGTCTTTCTCTGGTCCCTCTCTCTGGTCTCTCTCTAGTCTCTCTCTGGTCCCTCTCTGGTCTCCCCCTGGTCTCTCTCTATTCCCTCTCTGGACCCTCTCTCTGGTCTCTCTCTAGTCTCTCTCTGGTCTCTCTATGGTCTCTCTCTGCTCTCTCTCTGCTCTCTCTCTAGTCTCTCTCTAGTCTTTCCGTGGTCCCTCTGGTTCCTCTCTGGACTTAGACAGAGACCAGAACGAGACCTGTCTGCTTTTGAGTGGGTAAACACTGGTTTGATTTACTGTTAAACACAAATATCTGATCATTTGCATCATATGGTTCAGGTTTAGGGTCACACCAGAAACTGCATTTATTTGATCCTTCTAACCCCACTGGGAGCGACCCAAGGAGCAGTGACCCCGGCATCGACCGGGACCCATCTGTGGATCTGGAGGCTCAGCTCGGTCGGGACCTTCACCGGAGGATTTGACCTGTGGTGAGTGTTCAGGGCGATGGGGGAAACTGGAGTCTGGAAGAAACTGTTTCAGAGACAAGGAAAAATCAAACATAAAAACAGAGACGCCTGTATCGTACACTCAAAGAAATGACTTGTAGAATTTACTTAATAAAATCATTGTAAGTATTTGCACTCAAAATGTCTAAGTACATTTTAATGCTGTAATATCAAGTATAACTTACTTGCCAGTATCACGTACAATGTACTTTCTACTAACCTTAAACTTTGTGAGGATATTATGTAAATGTTATGTAATTATTTTCATACAGGAATATCAGATATTAAAATATTAGGTAAATCTTACTTGTTTATATCATTTTCTGTTATGAAGTGAATAAGTAGATATTACTTAATTTTTCTGTTTAAATTATTATTATTATCTACATGCTTTTTGGGTTGTTCCACTTTAATTGTATCATTAGGATGTCATAATATTTATTATTCAAATAGAGCTCAGCGACAAGTGGTACAGTGTACAGACTTTGTAGCACACATACATTACACATTCAATGTAGTGACAAACCCAGGAAGTAAAGCCATACTTTGACTTAGCCATGTCGATCATGGTTGGTAAAAATATATTTAATTTTTTTCATTTGGTCACATTTGTTTGTTCAAAATGTTGCTCACGTATTTTGCTTTAAGACTTGCTTTGTATTCACCCTCAAAATTAATGCTCAAATGTAGAAGAATTTCAGAAGTTTATGTTTTTCTCTGCATTGCATTCTGGGTAGCGTCACTACTTCACCCAATAGTTAAAAGTTACTTGATTTTTTCAGGTTTTGGTGCTATGACAATAAATCATGTAAATGGTACGAGCAAATCTCTAGTAAGATGTACTCTTTCCACTCAATTAATTAATTACCTGAATATACTGTGTAAATATTTATGTTTTTAACTAGTTTTTGCTGAAAGTTGATATTATAGGTAGAAAATACTACTTTTGAGTTAGTATTCATTTTTTTTTTTTCGTTTATTTGAGCTATTTGTGTAAAAAGACATAAAAAACAATGAACAAACAGGCATAATTTGCGCTGTATGCAATGATAAAGCAAGGCACACAGAAAAGCTCAAAAGGAGTAAGCTGAAGTATAAAACTTGTTAATGCTTACCCCTTTCTCATATTCTTTTTCTTGACAACAATTGTGTTGTTACAGACAGTGGTAAAGTTAATTTAAATGCATACATCATAGAACACAAGTTGCGTGTACAATAAGAAAACAAACAAAGTGTACACAAAAGAGAACGAAGCAGATCTAGCAAAGGAGAGAGAAGAAAAAAAAAAAGAATATATTTATATATATATATATATACACAAAATACCAAAAAAACAAATATAATTCAGAGTCAAAGAATAGTTTTTTGTAGTATAGATTTACACTTCATTTTCTATAGCATAGTTACTAAATACCTTTTCTTTGTACATTTGTTTAAAGTTAATCAGTGAGTTACAACATTTCAAGTCCTCCTCGAGTTCATTCCACAAATCAACCCCGCGGCGAGTGATGAACATGCTTTTTAGGGTAGTACTTGTAATTTGTTTCTTAAAGTTCATTGGACCTCGCAGATTATATTTGCCGTCTCTATTGCTGAACATTTTTTGGATATTGTTTGGAAGCGATCGATATCTTGCTTTATACATTATTTGTAAGGATTTAAATTTGACCAAATCATGAATTATCATGATTTTTGATTTTATGAATAGAGGGTTAGAATGTTCCCTCTTACCAGCGCTGCATATTATCCTGACGGCCTTTTTCTGCAAAATGTGAACTGGAGTAAGATTGGTTTTATAGGTATTACCCCATATCTCTGTATATATTACTACACCCAAAAATCATTTTTTTGAGTGTACCAGGGTCAAACCTTTAGAGGAGAGTGTTGCGTAGAAGTCACAATGTTGCAGATGTTTTCAAAAAATATAACAATAAATTTAAAGGAATTAAATTGAAAAATGAAATGACGTCTTGGGTTGCAACAACAAATTGATAAAATTGATCAAAATCGATTATTGTGTTGGCAACGAATGTCATAATGGATTCAGTGTATCGCGCGGTTAAAACGTCGGCCACTACGCCGCGGAGCTCACGTGGGTGCATTCTTGTGCAGCTGTGTTCAGACAATGCACGTGCGCAGATGGAGGACGCACTTTCACGAAATATCAGCTGCATGAGTTTAGTCTGAACTGCTGCTGTACTTTCCTGCGTTGGGCAAAAACGTAGGACGTAAGTGGTGGGCGAGCTTTGATGCTAACGCCGGTACTTCCACATCGGCGAACATGTTAGCAACACGTGTTTACAGTCACAGTAGAATGTCAACTCAGGGTGAAGACATGTTCACAAGCGCCGCGTCCTCCCTTGCTCTCTGATTGGTTGCCGCACATGTGTGGAGCGAGTTTGTTCATCTCTTGATTTTGCTGCATCTCGCCGCTGTATCCACCGCCGTATCCGCCGCCGTATCCGCCGCCGTATCCGCCGCCGTATCCGCCGCCGTATCCGCCGCCGTATCCGCCGCCGTATCCGCCGCCGTATCCGCCGCCGTATCCGCCGCCGTATCCACCGCTGTATCCACCGCAGTATCCACCGCCGTATCCGCCGCCGTATCCGCCGCCGTATCCGCCGTATCCACCGTTGTATCCGCCGCAGTATCCACCGCAGTATCCACCGCCGTATCCACTGCCGTATCCGCCGCCGTATCCGCCGCCGTATCCACCGCCGTATCCACCGCCGTATCCACCGCCGTATCGTATCCACCGCCGTATCCGCCGCAGTATCCACCGCCGTATCGTATCCACCGCCGTATCCACCGCCGTATCGTATCCACCGCCGTATCCACCGCTGTATCCACCGCGTATCCACCGCCGTATCCACCGCCGTATCGTATCCACCGCCGTATCCACCGCTGTATCCGCCGCCGTATCCACCGCCGTATCGTATCCACCGCCGTATCCACCGCCGTATCCACCGCCGTATCCACCGCCGTATCCACCGCCGTATCGTATCCACCGCCGTATCCACCGCTGTATCCACCGCTGTATCCACCGCGTATCCACCGCCGCATCCACCGCCGTATCCACCGCCGTATCCACCGCCGTATCCACCGCCGTATCCACCGCCGTATCCACCGCCGTATCCACCGCCGTATCCACCGCCGTATCGTATCCACCGCCGTATCGTATCCACCGCCGTATCGTATCCACCGCCGTATCCACCGCTGTATCCACCGCGTATCCACCGCCGTATCCACCGCCGTATCGTATCCACCGCCGTATCCACCGCTGTATCCGCCGCCGTATCCACCGCCGTATCGTATCCACCGCCGTATCGTATCCACCGCCGTATTCACCGCCGTATCCACCGCCGTATCCACCGCCGTATCCACCGCCGTATCCACCGCCGTATCCACCGCTGTATCCACCGCTGTATCCACCGCGTATCCACCGCCGTATCCACCGCCGTATCCGCCGCAGTATCCACCGCCGTATCCACCGCCGTATCCGCCGCCGTATCCGCCGCCGTATCCGCCGCCGTATCCACCGCCGTATCCACCGCCGTATCCACCGCCGTATCCACCGCCGTATCCGCCGCCGTATCCACCGCCGTATCGTATCCACCGCCGTATCCACCGCCGTATCCACCGCCGTATCCACCGCCGTATCCACCGCCGTATCCACCGCCGTATCCACCGCCGTATCCACCGCCGTATCGTATCCACCGCCGTATCCACCGCCGTATCCACCGCCGTATCCACCGCCGTATCCACCGCCGTATCCACCGCCGTATCCACCGCCGTATCCACCGCCGTATCCACCGCCGTATCCGCCGCCGTATCCGCCGCAGTATAGCGGGATAAACGTGGCGTGACGTCCGTGCAATTCCTCTCATGGACGTCGCCGTTGACTTTGCTCTGAATCTCGCCGAAGCATGATCCGGTCTGAACACAGAGTGTACACTCAGAAAAATATACCTCTTTTTGTGCACTTTACTTTAAAAAAATGCCAATATTTGGCAGATACTGCATGGTTTACAATTTATATGTTTTTTGTGTAGGTTCATGGCCTCGTTTTTAAATAAAGGGATGGAACCAAACATTTTTTTATCCAATTCATTGATTCATTGAAGAAATAATCGACAGATTAATTGATCATTAAAATAATTGCAGCCCTAATGACGTCTCTGGAGAACCTCCGGACACAGAGATGCCACAGAGCTGCACTTGTGGAGGAGAAGCCACAAGTGTAAACTCGTTTGCATCAAAGTCCTGCCCACCACTTCCCCCACCGCAGGGCAGTTTGTGGACATGTGTCCTTGCCTCCATCCACACAGGTCCATGCATCAACAGTGGGAACGCACTGCCGGCCGGGAACATACTGTATCCTTTATTTACCTTTATATAACCAGAAAAGTCCTCTTTCAAACTCTCTCATCAGCCTCTATATATACGCCACACTTGTGAGGTGGGATGGATTGTCTCCGCAGAGAATAAGAGCTCACTGGAACAGATTCAGACAGATCTATGAAAAATATCTGATGGAGACGGTGTATCGAGCAAATACACAAAGTTGTATATTCTTTGGTTAAACTCGTGAAGACTGGGAGCCAAACAAAAGCGCTGTTAGATTTCGTGTTATACTTGTGGACAGGTGCAAGTTTCTCTCCAAATACGTACAGAAATATCAAGAGCTCCAACAGCTTTCATTTTAATTAGACTCGGTGAGAACCTCTCCACACCGTCACCTGGCACCGGATCAGAACCTCTCGTCTGAAAACTCCATCAAAATGTAAATGACGACGTCTTTAAAACACTCGAAGAGCCATTAATAAACATTGATTTGGAAACCGCCGGGGCAAAACAACCAAGATGGCCGCCGCTACAAACAGGCACTTTAAGCAAGATGTCGAAAAGAATATGTTTATGTTTTAACCTTTTTTAGATGAAGTATAAAGCTCTAATTGAACTTTAAGAGCACTATTTGTGTTGGTAACATAAGGCTATGGACAGAATCATGTGCAAAAAAAACGTAAATCCAAGTTTTATTAATTCAGGCTCCGAAAAAAATGAATTCGCCCCCTGTATTCTGCAGTTTAAAAATGACTTACTCCGGTTTAAAGTGAAGAATAGAATCTTCCGCATCAACAAAACTGTTTTTAACCTGGATTCGAACATTGGATATTTGTCTCATGTTTTCCGTTGATGGTCTCTTTTTTTGGTTTCTTTAGTCCAGGGGTTTCCAACCTGTAGCTCAAGAGGTAGCTCGCCAAAAGATTTATAAATAGACTAATCAAATAATATACTTAACATATAAGATTGTATTGTTCATTTTCATTATTTATTACTGTAAATGCACTTACTGTGTCACTAGTAACAAATATGTGTCAATAAATAATGAACGACTCCAATATCAAGCTCGTTCACACCAAAATGTCAAAATCTTTATCCCAGCTTAAAGGAGTAGCTCTCTGCCTTCATGGTCCCGGGAAAGGAGCTCTCTGGGTGAAAAAGGTTGGAGACACCTGCTTTAATCAATTCAATTCAATCTATTTGGTTACAGCCCTAAATCACAACAGTAGTATTCTCAGGATTTTTTTTTACTAAATTGTCGATTCCCCAACGCAGATCAGAGAATCAAACAGTTCAAACACAATGATAAAAACACATTGGTCCATAAGGGGAGACCAAAGTCCATAAATGTTAATAAATATTAGATAAATGTTGTTGAATGTGGAGAGGCCTGGATCATTATCACTGTCTTTAGACCCTCCTGCATCGGCAAAGAACAACTCTAAAAACCCAGTGGAAGAAAAACGAGAAACCTCAATTTTTAGTAACTTTAGAATCACACAAAACTATTTTCAAGATCGAGAAGGGAAGAAACAAAACTTAGCAAATAATGATTGATTTTGTTCATTTGAGCAGAAATGTTCTATTCCTGAGTGTTTATGAATGCAAAATGTTAGGCCATACTTGCATTTGAGAGCCAGATCCTGTCAGACCTCTGTAGCTAAGCAGAGCAGGGTCAGGTTTGTACTGTGATGGGAGACCTCTGCACCAAAACCAATGCATTATTGATATTATTATTATTAGTATTTACAATATTTACTCTCCGTAGTTTACATGACCTTCTGTACATGTTGCCTACTGTTATTACAGAAAACACACACATGATAAAAAGAAATATACAAACATTAAATGTACAATCAAGCAGCAGTTTCACCATTTGTTAAAACATTTTCAATATGTTTTTACAAATGCATTTCAATTTACAATTTCTCAGCTCAAAATGTAGTGGGAAAGCAGTAAAAACCCATAGACTCCCATCCCCATAGAGGTGAGAACTTCGATTTTGTTCTAAATGATGGGTTCTCAGTGTTTGTTGCGGAGACGGCGGGGGATCGGTTGTCGATTATTTTTATTTTAAATGTTTGTTTAACCCAAAGATTTCCAACACACAGTCGTCCGGTCCATGTCCATCGGTACATTTCCTTATTTGCTTTGAAACGACTCGTCCCCAGGGAGAAAGCATCCCACATTTATCTGGATTTTAATAAGTCAGCCTCACTTAAGCCTATGTGACCAGACACACACACACACATACACACACACAGATGGGGGAGGGACACAATATATTAAATCCTGTGATCACAGCCAGCTTTTCTTGTTTGTCGTCTCTTCGTTAATCCAATACGGGCTTAATCCAATTTGTCGTTTTAGGCTCCGACCTTAAGTTCTCCTCGACTTAGAGCTCTCTCCTAAATCTGTGTCAGTGACCGCAGCTCGCCTCCAAAACCTGGATTAAAAATAAAGAGGGAAAGAAAGAAGAGAAATGGTGCCACTTTACAATAAGCTGTCTTATCAAGGATTTAGTGGGTTTTAGCGCACGTCGATTAGCTAAAGATGTCAAAGTCAACAATGCACGCTCTGTTTTAAAGGCCATTGTGCCACTTTATGAGATTTACGCTCGGATTAGCGCTTTCTCTGCTTAATATCACAGTATTTTATCATTTTAATAATACATAGCACTTATAAGAGGCTCTTTTCGGGACACATTTATGGACTTTCTCAACATTTATGGACATTGGTGTCTGCCCCTCATGGACCAATGACTCACTGTGTTTTTCATAATTGCATTTCTGTTTGATTCTCTATTCTGTTGTTGGCAAATCGACAGTTCTTGACAGTCATTGAAAAGTTTAAAAATGGTTAATCTTCCACAAGTCCAACTGCAGTTATGATTTAGGGCTGTACAAAAACAAATGGAATTGAATTTACAAATGGGGTAGGGTTTTAAAAAACTAAAGTTAAAAATCTGAAATGAACAAGTGGGTTTTGAGCTTTAAAGTCCTCGTTCTACAGTCTGACTCCTGGATCTACAGCCCGTCCGTCCGTCCATGGGAGCAGTACCCTCTCTCAAATTAGGCCTTCCCCGAGGTTTCTCACCTTTTTCCTGCTGGGTTTTTTGAGTTGTTCTTTGCCGACTCAGGAGGGTCTAAGGACGGTGACGTTCCGATACGACTTCTGTTGGGATTTAGGGCTCTACAAAAAGACATTGAACTGAACTGATTTGAAGTCTGAGTTCCTGATGTGTCGTGGGCCAAGGTTCGGCACTTTGTTCTGCTGCGAGTGAGGAGGTGTTGAAACCGTTCAATCAGAAACTCCTCAACTTCTCCATCACCTATAATTCATCAATCTTATCTAGAAAAATACTACAATTACACACAATTTTCATCAATTAAAAGTATTTAGGGTCTGTCTGGTCTCTCTCTCTCTCTCTGGTCTCCCTCTCATCTTTCTCATGTCTCTCTCTGGTCTTTGTGGTCTCTCTCTTGTCTATTTCTCATGTCTCTCGGCTCTCTCTGGTGTCCGTCTGGTCTCTCTCATGTCTCTCTCTGGTCTCTGGGATCCCTCTCTCTGGTCTCTCTCTGGCCTCTCTCTATACTCTCTCTCTCTGCTCTCTCTCTGGCCTCTCTCTATACTCTCTCTCTCTGCTCTCTCTCTGGCCTCTCTCTATACTCTCTCTCTCTGCTCTCTCTCTGGCCTCTCTCTATACTCTCTCTCTCTGGTCTCTCTCTGCTCTCTCTCTGGCCTCTCTCTATACTCTCTCTCTCTGGTCTTTCTATGCTCTCTCTCTATACTCTCTCTCTCTGGTCTTTCTATGCTCTCTCTCTATACTCTCTCTCTCTGGTCTCTCTCTGCTCTCTCTCTGGCCTCTCTCTATACTCTCTCTCTGGTCTTTCTATGCTCTCTCTCTCTGGTCTTTCAATGCTCTCTCTCTGCTCTCTCTCTGGCCTCTCTCTATACTCTCTCTCTCTCTGGTCTTTCTATGCTCTCTCTCTCTGCTCTCTCTGGCCTCTATCTATACTCTCTCTCTCTGGTCTTTCTATGCTCTCTCTCTCTGGTCTTTCTATGCTCTCTCTCTGCTCTCTCTCTGGCCTCTCTCTATACTCTCTCTCTCTGGTCTTTCTATGCTCTCTCTCTCTGGCCTCTCTCTCTGGTCTCTTTAGTCTCTCTCTCTCTCTGGCCTCTCTTTCTACTCTCCTCTCTCTGCTCTCTCACTAGTCTCTCTCTACTCACTTTGCTTTCTCTGTCTAGTCTCTGTCTCTCTCTCTCTGGTCTCTCTCTCTGGTCTTTCTACTCTCTCTCTCTCTCTCTGTCCAGAAGTCGCCTGTTTATCACCATAACTCCAACATTTCTCCTCCTTCCTCCCTCCTTCTCTCTCCTCAATCCCACTGAAGTGCATTAACCGTTCCTTGAGTGTCTTTGAAGATCGACAAAGCATCTGCGTTATTGTCTTCACCTGATCCCGCTTCTCATTTAGGCCTTAGACAAAGACCAGAGAGAGTCCAGTCCGCTCGGCTTTTGTGCCGCAAGGACCAGCGGATCCCAAGCCCCTAATCACGTCCCCCACAAAAGGCAAAAGGCATCATCCCATTTGGCTTTGTGGGTGATAGGAGCCTTTGAGACCGCGTTCAGGGCTTAAACCCGGTACCAGCAGGGCGCGGCGTCTTTCATCTCGACGTGTTACCGATCTCATTACAATCAAAGCGCCGCACTTAAGAACCAGGACAATACGGAACACGAGTGAGTAGAGATGTTTGTGAACCGCGGTCTATGTGAGGAGACTCGGGGCGAAAAGGGCCACGAAACCTGTAAGGGAATTAAACCGGAAATATTCCATGCATGCGGTTTTAAGTGGGGGCGCAAGATTACGTTGCATTGTGGGATAAGAAGGTGTAGTGGTAATAACAATCATATAGAAAGCACGTTGCGTTTTTACATGGACAATGAAAGACAATTACACAGCGATACAAGCATAACTAGAACACAAATCAAGGAGAAAAAAAGACACAAAAAAACAATAATTTTTCACATTCATCAAAAAACAAAGCATTGCTCCAATAATTTGAATTTATTTCCAATGAAAAGGCCTAAATAATTTTCCCAACCTTATTTCGGTGGATTATTCTTTACGTTTCAAGTTATTTTGTAGACAATAATTCGCTTTAAAGGCTCGATGAAGTCTCGCAAACTGCTACACAAAAGTTTCTGATGGAAAACATGACTCTAGAAAAAGGTAGAACTTGAAAATTCTGCACCATCGGTTTCTCGAACAACCTCTATAATTCACTCCCTCAAAAGACTCATACTGTCACATGTTTTGGTAAAAGGGGTAACCGGAGCGCCCGGAGAAAACCCACCTAAACACATGGAGAAAGACGCAAACTCGACCCTCTCTAATCCCTCTTGCTGTGAGATTCAGTGGTGTGTATATAAAGGTAAAGCTAATAACAAGTAACATGCAGTCTGGTGAGAGGTGATCACACATAGACTTTAACAATTATCTTTTTTTTATTCATGAAACTTTTTTTATTGCGAAACTGGAAATGTCTTGCCTAAGGATACAACTACATTTTGTCACTTTGAAGCTGCAACTGCCCCACTGTGTTCCCAGAGGTCTCCCATCACAGTACTAACCAGCCCATATCCTGCTTAGCTTCAGAGGTCTGATAGCAGGTTTTTCACATTTTTGTTGTAAGTAATATATATTAATTTGAAGAAGGCTCCCCAATCCTAAACATGACCAAATTTGTGACTCTTTTGATGGCGACAAAACATGAATATTTACCTCAGTCTGCAACAAAATACCTAGATTTCATTGAGACCCATTTATAAAAACATTGAAGAAACAACTTTTGAGTGCTTTAATAACACGGGAAAGCAGATCTAACATGGTCAAATGCTGTAAAAAAGTTGCATGTAACGTCCCCTTTAGTAAGTAAGTAAGTACGTTTATTTATATACCGCCTTTTCACTGCAGATCTGAGTCTCAAAGCGGTTTACAATTGTTAATTATGGGCATTTGTCTCTCACTCCACACAGAGATGGGAGCGGGGTCGCCGGTACAGGAGGCGCATGCCAGAACTATTGGACATATTTTTAGTGGTAGGGGAAACCGGAGTACCCGGAGGAAACCTACGCAGACACGGGGAGAACATGCAAACTCCACTCAGAAAGGCCCTGGTCCGGCCGGGATTCGAACCCAGGACCTTCTTGCTGAGAGGCGAGAGTGCTATCCACTCAGCCACCGTGCCGCCAACGGAAACAAACTTTATGGAACAATATTGAAGCGGTTTCAGAGGTGTATCCAGACGTAAGAGTGTATTTTCAAACCAGGAAATGAAGTCTTCTCAGTCGAATTAACCCTTCAGGCAAAACTTCATAGAAATCCATTGAGTGAAACTTGGCAATAGCGGCGTTACCTGCGGGCATTCCATTACTTCCTGTTAGGTCTTTTCCACTTTTGTCAATAATCTTTTCGCCAAACTGTGGTAATTCCTCGCGGCGCATTCAGAAGTTACCCATCTCGTAATCTCTTGGCACTTTATCGGCCACTACTTTTCACGTTTTATTATCCAACTCGTTTACTGATCCGCTCCCCCGTGGCGTCGCCTTTCATTGCCACATCTTTGGGAGGAGATTTTTTTTTTTTTTTTTTTTATGTGAATGGAAGTCCAACCCCACGCCGCCCGAGATCTTAGCCTGGATCGGGGCCTGGTCCTGGGCTTGCGTTTGTCCTCGGTGTGGCCGGCGATGGCAGCTCAGATCACAGCGGTTCATTAGCATTCGCCCATAGAACTTTCTTTGTGTCTTTGTGCTGCTTTTGAGGAGTTTAAAAAGATGCCGTTTGCTGAGCGGAGCCAGAAGCATCGCGGGAACACAACACCCCAAGATCAGAGGGTAGTTGAGTAGTTGAACGAGCTCCGAAGCTATAATTTGAAGACATTTAGTCGCTGAGTCTAGTGCTAATCTCCAATGGTATAAAGCAACTGTTATGCTAGCAATAAAACAAGTAGTATTTTGTATTTGTCTTTTGGGTCTGTTTCCAACTTACCAAGATTTTAATAACTTGTAGGTCTTGTCTTGATCACCTCAGATTCACATTTATTTTATTTGCAATTCGCCGTAAAACCACATTGGAATACAAGCGCAAAAGTTACCGGTGCACACCAGACAAGTACATGAATAAAACAAGCTAAAATTACAGGAACACAAGAAGCTAAAAAATGACAGCAAACAAACTTGTGTCTGATTCAATCCCATTTCTTTAGTGAATGTTCGAGCTTCGGTTTTCCCATTTTTAGACCAACGTTTTCATTGGACAAGCCTTTATACAGTAATACTTGTGATACCAAATATTTACCATTAACTTGATGTCTGTCAGCTCCAGAATTTACTTTGGTAAGACCGTGACTTTTTCTTTGCTTAAAGCTGGGGTACCTAAATATCATCTTTGGATCAGCTTTATCAGACAGTACAGTGAGAAAGAGAGGAGCAGTCTCACTCAGCCAATCAGATCTCTGCCCAAAGCGTCAAATAGTGACTCACAGGCTTCTTTTTTAAGCTTCCCCGAGGTTTCTCAGCTTTTCTCACTGGGTCTTAGAGTTGTTGCTTGCAGATGCAGGAGGGTCTGACATAACGACAGTGGTGATGATCCAGGAAACTCACCTTTCAACAACATTTATGGACATTTATCAAAACTTATGGACATTGGTCTCTGCCCCTTATGGACCAATACCAATGTGTTTTCTGTTTTATTTCTTGTGTTTGATTCTCTGATCTGTGTTGGCAAATTCAACGGTTGAGTAAAGTCCTCAGGGATAACTACTGTTGTGATTTAGGGCTATACAAGAATACATTGACTTGATTTTAAGGTATATAGGAGGATTTTCTACTTTCGGGTGGATCATCAAGACTCTTTGTCCTCTTAATTGTCAATCATTCTGGTGATACGTGCTCGTCCAATAAGACCAGAGAGTTTTGTTCAAAAAGTAGAGTAGTACGTTTTGGGAAAATCCTTCTACCTTTAAGTTCACAAAAGTTTCACAAGACCCTTTATATTGGGACAAACCAAATATATCACTGACGACACTAAAGTTAACCACGGCAGCTTTAAGTGATGTCTTTTTCCCGACAAACCAACAGACAAAAACTTGCAACACACACAGTTTTATCCACCTCTCGAAAAGTCAATTTCTTATGTAAAGTCTCCCGTAATGCATTTCCCACCACTCCATTCTTCAACCACGGCTTGATCGCCCAATTTGCCTTTTGTCTAAATCCTGCTCAGGGGTCGAAATCCACGGATCCAAGACGCGTAAAAATAGAAAGCCGCAATTCCAATCCTCGACCCTCACCACATTTGTCATTAGCGGTTATCTCCCATGTCCACGCACGCTCGAGCACAAAGCCACAACCCGCTCCCTACATGTACCCAAACATTTAACTCCTTTAATTACTTCTTAAATTACACTTGCAAATAGCGCTAAGCTAAGCTGCGGTTGCGCATGGCCTGAGAAAAGCGCAACATTTTTTCTTTCTCTTTTTTAATGATTACTTCTGGCGTAATCTCGTATATGGGTTAGGAAGTGAATGAAAGAATTAGGGGACTAGGACTTTTAAGGCTCTAAAAGGCAAAAGCGAAACTTGTACAGGCAGGTTTTTTTGGACCAGATGTTGCCGAAATAACCCAACAATCGCGACGCAAGAGAAAAGGCCCGGGACGTGGAGGTTGGAATAAATTAATAGCTAATTTTGGAAGTCTTTGATGGCATTAGCGAGCCAGTCTGCTTGGTCCAGTGTGCTGCTTCTAAACATTTTTTTAGAGGTTAAGGGCCACCCAGAGCAGAGCGAGATGCTTCCATAATCCCTCTGTTTATCCAAAGTCCTGGCCCCAAACTGCTGCGTCCATTATGCAAGGGATTTAGGAGCAGCGACTTCCCCGCGAGACCCAGGCCGCGCGAATAGGAGGATTTGCATGGGACCACAATGCACTGCTGCACCTGTCTCCACGGCAACCGAGGGCGGCAGATGCAGCGCCGGCGAGCAATCTGGGGACGGGGACATTTGGTCGGTGCGAAGAAGAAAAAAAAAAAAGAGCCAGACCCCCGTGAGTTTGTGTCGCCAATGAAAGAGTGGGGCAAAGTCTGGGTGAGCAGTGAGCGATGTGGGCTTTCTCATCGTTTTGATTTAGTTTGAGGATGTATAAACTTAATAGAGTTGGGGAAATAATCGGTTCTGTTCAGCATCGCGATATTTTACGCACGCAATTTTATCGATACAGTAGAGAAAAGTATTGTGATATATAATTCAATATGTATCTGTTTCACGTTGGTGTTTTATCTGGGAATTTCCATCTGAAGTTTGTATTCCTCCATTACTCTTTTTGTTCCAGGGGTCTCCAACCCATAGCTCAGGAGGCACCAGTAGCTCACCACCCCCTCCCAGGTAGCTCCCCAACGGATTTAGAAACTAAAGTTTTTTAGTCTGCTTACTTACTAAATATGTGATGATTAAGCACTGGTGATAATGACATTACCATTTCTCAAGCTCACTCTCACAAATGCATATATCAACTTATTTTTCCCAGCACGGACGGAAGTAGTTCTCTGCCATTTTTGTTTGGAGAAAGTAGCTCTCTGGGGGAAAAAGTTGGAGAACCGTGCTTCCACTCACACACATTCTCATACAGCAGTGTGGCAGACGCAGGGCCGAGGCGGGTGTAGTGTCTTGCCCAAGGGCACACAGCAGCATTTACCAGTGAAAGTTGGTTTCACACCTGTGGGTCAGGCCATCCAATGACGTCAGAGTCAGTTGCCGGACTCAAACTGGCAACCTCTGGGCTCAGACGACAGAAACTCTGCTAGAGCAGGGGAGTCCAAACATTTTAGTAAGATGGCCACTTATGTTCACCAGACTAGTCCAGGGGCCAACTTCACGGACTGAAAAACTGTCTTGACGGGCATCGTGTAAAGGTCGATGTAAAGGAGAAAAGCACATCTCAGTTCAACCCAAACACAATTAAATACCGAAGGAAATTAACTGAAGACTCATTAAATGCACTCAAGCAAAGCCTTAAGTCACATAACTGGGAAACTATCATTCAAGAGACAGACATAGATGTTGCATATGACAACTTTATGACAGTCCTTTTATCATACCTCGATTCACATTGTCCTTTGTTTAAATTAAATACTAAATGTAAAAATCTAAAACCTTGGATGACAAAGGGTTTGGTAAATGCTTGTAAAAAGAAAAACACACTGTATAAAAAATTTATCAAAACAAGAACTACAGACTCTGAAAACAGGTACAAAAAGTATAAAAACAAATTAACGGAAATTTTAAGGAAAACCAGAACAGACTATTATAAGACTTTGCTTGAACATAATAAAAATAATATTAAGGGCTTCTGGAGAGTGCTAAATGAAATCATCGGAACCAAACCCAAATTAAATGCAATAGCAGAATATTACACACATAATAATGAGACCCTGGTTAATCCACAAGAAGTAGCGGAAGGCTTTAACAAGTACTTTGTTGAAATAGGGCCTGAACTTGCTAAAACAATTGACTCACCAATCAATTCTATGCAAAGTGACGTCTGTTACAATCAAAGTTATAGCTCCTTTTTCCTCAGCCCAGTTGATGAAAATGAAATTCTTAAGGTAGTGGGAAAGTTCAAGAGTAAAAACTCCCAGGATTTTGACGGCCTGAGTATGAGCTTGGTTAAAAAAGTTATTCACAGCATAACTGAACCAATCAAACACATTTGCAATCTGTCTTTTGAAACTGCAAAATTCCCAAAACAAATGAAAGTTGCAAAGGTGCTACCAATATACAAAAATGGTGACAAACATTCTTTTCACAACCATAGGCCAATCTCATTGCTGCCGCAAATTTCAAAAATCCTTGAAAAATTGTTTAAAGACAGATTAAATAACTATATCAACAAACACAATTTACTCCATGACAGCCAATACGGCTTTAGAGAGAACCGCTCCACTACCTTGGCTATGATTGACTTGGCTGAGGAGATCAGCGACAATATAGAAAAACAGAAATATTCTCTTGCTATTTTCATTGACCTAAAAAAGGCATTTGACACGATAGACCATAGTATCTTGATTAAAAAATTGGAAAAAAAAGGAATAAGAGGTTGCCCTCTACAGTGGCTTAAGTCCTATCTGACAGACAGACATCAGTTTGTACAGATTGGTGAGTACAAATCAACTTTGAGGCCAATTATGTGTGGAGTGCCTCAGGGCTCTGTGCTCGGGCCAATTTTGTTTTTATTGTATATCAATGATTTGGCTGTAATTTCTAAAAAGTTCAAATTAGTACTTTTTGCCGATGATACCACCATCTTATGCGCTGGAACAAACCTGCAACAGCTACTGACCGAGGTCTCCATGGAACTGACAAAAATTAAAGATTGGTTTGACAGCAATAAATTATCACTTAATCTAAAGAAAACCAAATTCATGGTGATTGGAAATAAAAAAATTACCACAGAACCCAAACTAATGATTAAAGATGAAATCATAGAACGTGTCTATGAACATAATTTCCTTGGAGTCATTATTGACCAGAAGCTATGCTGGAAACCACAAATTAATAGTGTTAAAAAAAAGATAGCCAAATCTATTGCAATAATGAGGAAATCTAGACATCTCCTGGATACAAAAGCATCGCACACAGTTTACTGCACACTCGTCCTGCCCTATATTAGTTACTGTACCGAAATATGGGGAAATACTTACAAACATAATCTCAAAGACATCTTCATCATGCAAAAAAAGGCTCTAAGAATCATACACAATACTGGTTATAGGGAGCACACAAACCCGCTGTTTCTGCAATCAAAGATAATGAAGTTTGAAGATCTGGTTGAATGTAAAACATTACAGATCATGTACAAAGCTCGAAACAAATTGCTTCCAAACCATATACAAAACCTGTTCCTTGAAAGGGACTCAAAATACAATCTAAGAGGCCAACTGAACTTTAAGAAACAGCGTGTTCGTACTACTTTAAAAAACATGTTCATTACCCGAAGGGGAGTGGACTTATGGAATGAATTAACGGATTGTCTTAAAAGTACTACCTCATTAGTGAATTTCAAAAGACTGTATAAGGTAAGCGTATTAAAAAAATATGAAGTTGAAGAAGGACTGTAAATCTGTTATGAAATTTCTGCTTTCTCGCTAGTCTAGCCAAACCTGCTAACTCACATATTGTACTTGTACTGCGTATACAGTAGACTTCCTACTGTAGCCTGCTTGGAGTTTCTGTTTACTGAATAATGACCTTATTTATCGGCACAATGTACAGCACTGTATATGCTCATGTTTACGAATGTGAGAATATACAGGGGATTTCCATGTGCGGGCTTACGGTTTTCCTACAGCTGGATCTCCATGACACAAGCATGTGCTCAGACACTGAGGGGTGTGGACGCGTGCATGTGTGAAGCTCAAGCTCGGGGACACATACATGTGTAATACATGCAAATACATTACTGGATATGCTCATGGCTAACAAATGTGCACACACACACACACGGATACATTTACCCACTCAGGCACACATGCACAAATACATTTCAATCTGGGTGCATCCACACAAACACAAACATACACTTATACCCAGGCATAAACACAAGTACACATACAAATACACACAGCACTCATGCACTATCAGAAACAAACATATACACGCATGCATGTGTACCCACTTCGACACACACACACAACACACCGCGCACAACACACTACACGCACACACACACAACACACCGCACACTACACACAACACACACCTAATTGAAAAACGATGTAAATATGAAAATGTAATTGGGGTAAGCTCACACAAGTATTTTACTTCGGCTTACTCCCTTTGAGCTGTGTCTACTTTTTCTTGAAATGTTTTCCTATTGGATTGTTTTTTGTTTTGTATGACCTGCTCAAATAAATTGATTGATTGATTGATTGATTGATCGTACTAATTTAATCTCGTACTAAGTTCTGGGTTTGCTCCATTGAGCTCCGTTAACAGGTGGGAGGGGTTAACTCCTTTTGCAGATTGAAACGATTGGATCTGAGTTTGTCGTGACGTGAGCATTTAGCCTAGCTTTAGCCATCTCCTTGTCACCAGCGGAGTGGGGAGTAGAGCCACAACATCTTTGCAGCAATGACATTTACTAAACATTCCTCTTGCTCCGGCTTCAATTTTGTGATATTTGGATTGAACCAGAACCGATTATTTTACTATCGCATTTGCCGCCAAACTACAACCAGCAAATTTGGTGCAAACTCTTGACGTCACCGACACCAACCTACAAGCCCCGCCTCCCCCGCTCTCTGATTGGTTGGAGGGGATTCAACCGAGGAAACTGCAGCCACTAGGATCAGACCCAGACGTACATGTAGGAGATGATAATGACCGCAGTTTACAGATGGATAAGACCAGGCTTGCATCAGGCTGTTCTGAGCTTTAAAATGATCTATAACAGAGCTGAAGTTGGCTGAATGACAAATGTTTACCATCTCACCATCTACAATATAATCATTAACAGAGGTTTGTGACACAATCACTGTGGCTGGTGTTCCCAGAGGTTAAGTGTCTTGCCAAGGACACAACAACAGCAGACATCAGTGGGAGTCGATGGTGAAAGTCTTGAGTTGGGCTCGAACCCACAACCTCCTGGCTCAAAATGCTCTACCAACTGAGCCACTGTTACTACATCTAATATCAACAATGTGTGGGTTTTATACAGAGCTTTTCCGGACGCTCAAAGATGCTTCACAGTTCGTTATTCATTCACGCTGTACATGAACAAATAGATTTTTTAGGTAAAAGTATTGTTAAGGCCATAATTTAGTTTATATTAAAATGTCTAAAAGTCTAAAATTCTAAAATGTTTAAGTCTAAAATTAGTTCTGAAATTTAAAAAACATCCTGGAATATATTTGTTACTTTGTTAAATATAAAAATCTTAATATTCCTTTATTTAGAGCTAGAGGGGGCGGTACAGACGGGACAGAGTATTCATAGATGGGACAGGTGTGGGGGAATCGGCATAATGAGGGTGACCGACATGGATTTTGACCGCAACGCAACGCACGAACGATACGCGCAGACTATTTGATTTGAAATAAAACTTTGGAAATGGATCTACGGCTACGTGTTGTGTTTGATGCTGTGAGTCAGAAAGCGGACACCCAAAGGATGGCTATATGATCGCTTAGAAGCCAACACAACTATATAAAAACTCGACTTGTCGTTTCAACAGATGCAGAATCAGTACTTTTCCACTTGATGTTTTGGTCTGAAAATCAAAGCAAACATAATTATTGGCGTTGTGGATGTTTTGTCTTCTATAAAAATCATGTGTATTTGTGTCTTTTTTACAAATCCAAGCCCAATTTGCTTCATCCAACCCCTTTTTTAACCAGGTACAAGTTTATTTGTTTGTTATATTGATGTACAGTATGTAAAAATAAGTATTATGCAGGTTCAAAATAAATGAATAAATAAAATACCAACAATAAAAAGTCTTCCGCTGAGACACGATCCCAAACCTCTGCAGATGTTGTCCTTTTCTTCAGTATCACTGTAGCCATAGCTGCCCTGGGGCACACTGCCCGTAGCGAGGCCGCTAATCTGTGCCATCTGGCCTATTTGACAATCACCAACCATTCACACACACGCACGCACGCACACACACACACACACACACACACACACACACACACACACACACCAGACTTATCCTGGACAGTGTGGGTGAGGTGTTTGCCTCAGGACACAACAACAGTTTAGCGCTGTGCAGCCGCTGTGGCCCACGGTGTCCCCAGAGGTCTCCCATCCCAGCAGTAATCAGAGCCTACCTTGCTTAGCGTCTGAGATCTGGTAGGAGCAGGTTTGACGATGTTATGTAACTACATTTCTTGATTAGTTTTGAGAAAAAGGGACGCATACAGTTTAGCTCGGTTTAGTTCAGTTTAGTTTATCATCTATCGTTTATATTCTTATATAAATGTATTTTCATATTGTTTGTTTGATTTGCTTGCGTTTATACTTGATGTATTTTTTTTTTTTTTTACTCTTTTTTTGACACAAGGGGAGCAAAAAAGTCGAAGAAAAGAAAAGAACATGTGTCTCGTTATGCTGTATGTATTGTGGGAATAAAGTGAGAACTAATGAAGGTAACACAATAACACAGAAACTAAAAAAATTAAAAATAAAAATTTAATAAAGAGTAATTTATCTTAACTTTCTTTTGTGTTCCGGAGCTGGGGTGGTCTCGCTCGGGCTAAGTCTAAGTTATTGCTGTTTGCCCTCCCACTGCCCCATACTTTATTTCACTTCAAACCTACCCATGCTTTTCGAGTGCGCGTCCCGCTGTTTGTCAAATTTGCTCCTTCAACAAATCAATCAAAAGCGGCCATCCACCCCCAATCCCCCCCTCTCCTCCCCCATACCCCCCTAATACCCCCCCCACCCCCCCACCCTCTCGCAATGCCCCTCCCCTTCAATTACAGCCCTCATTAGCATTTATATGATATCAGTGTAGGGCATCAGTGCGGATAATGTCGCGGTCCGACACCCGTTAACCCCGGCCACTGATGCATGCTGGGAGGAAAGCAGGGGGCGGAGCTTTGAAGCCCTGTGTTTAGAAAAAAAAGAAAAAAAAAGTATTGTATTTTTTTTTTTTTTTTTTAAGGTCCCATCCCAGAGGCTCAGGTCTCAGTCTGCTGCTGCTACGGAGACACAGAGGGGACAAAAGAGGGACAGGAGTCAAAGAGGATTTGGGTTTGGTCCGCAGCAGCAGGGTGCGACTTCTGAAGGTCCGAGACTCCGCAGGGTTCAGGGGCACTGTGCAAATACTGGAACAGCAAAGCAAGTTAATTCTGCGGGACTTTAAAGCGGTCTACCAAGTAAATGTGCTGCTTTTTAAAGTTTTTTATTTTTTGGCTAATTGTTTTTGGTTACCCTGGGCGACGAGAGAGAGGCCAGACATTCAAGGCCAGGGTTGATTACGTAACACAGTTTATTTTAATTATTGTTATTGTTTATGTTTTTTTAAACGTATTATTTTTCATTTCAAGGGAGAAAAAAATTTAGAAAATTTTGCAAAACACACTATAAACTATAGTAAAAACATAAATAAAACACACAATACATATTTTTGAATGGCAATTTTGTTTTTGCTTGAGTGTTATTTGTTATTGGATTATTTTTCCAGTTTTAGAAAAAAAGAGCAGCGATTTGATTTTTGCCTGTTTAAGTATTTTTTCCAATTTCCAGTCAACTTTTCTTGTTTTTTAGATAGAATAAGGTTGTGATTCTATATTTAAAGAAAAAAAATCTCAAAGATGTTTAATAAAAAAGTAAATAACACTTGAAATGTATGTTTTTAAACTAGAATCAAGTCGTTTGGGGTTAATATTATTTTCTTATTTTCATAAATCTTGTCAAAGTCATATTTCTTGTTCTATTTTCAGATTCAGATTTATTATTATTCTACCCAGTATTTTACTTATGTTCATATATATTTTTCAAGAAAGGTTTTCCAATGCAGGAGATAGACAGAGAAAATAAGAACAATAATAATAAAAAAGTAAAACAAACGTCCTTTTTAATTAAGCTCCTGGTGAAGTTGGTGAGACTCAGGGAAGACTTAAAAATACTACCTTAAGTCAAAAAACACAAAATGCACTTGGAGTCACTTTTTTGGCAGAAGTTTGATAACATAAGCCCTATTATCTCCTCTTCCTCTTTTATCTCTCATCGTTTTGACGTCAGCTGTAGTCTGTTCATTGCTACTCACCCGCTGTCCCACTGTCTGACTTTTTGCTAATTGATTTGGTAACCCTGGGAGACGGCAGAGGGGGCGGGAAATCAGTTGTGATGCAAAAATAACTCCAAAAAGCAATAGATGCTGAGAAAGGTGTTAGTTTGACAAAGCAGAATTTGCCCTTGTTTTGGGCCTTTCTGGGTGGATTTTGCATGTTCTCCCCATGTCTGTGTAGGTTTCCTCCAGGTGCTACGGTTTCCCCCGCCACTATACAAACATGTACAATAGCTCCTCCCGTCTCTCTGCCCTGGTTTTGCTTGTTATGAAATCCATATCTATGTCACCCATGTCCGACATTGGGGCAATTATCCATCCATCTTCTTCCGCTTTATCCATTGCCGAGTTGCAGAAGCAGTGGCTCTACTCCAAGCTCCACACCCTATCTCTAAAGGAGAGTCCAACCACTCTGCGGAGGAAGCTCATTTCTTGTTTGGTAATTAGTTCAAATTACACAGAATGTTGTTAAACAGTTTTTATTTTTATTTGTTTGAGTAAATTTAGATTAAAATTAAGAGATCAATTATAAATCTTAGAGTGGGGAAATTTCAGTGTTGCATCATTTCTTTTCAGGGGAGTCATGGTCCTAGAGAGAGGGGAGGTATTCTACTTGAATTTAGTGGTAGGGGTAAACCGCAGCACCAGGAGGAAACTCACAATGGCACGAGGAGAACATGCAAACTCTACACATAGAGGCATCGTCTGGATCGAACCTTCCTGCCTGCTAATCATTGTTTAATAAAAAAGTGCGTGTATGTGTCTGTGTGATCACTTGTGTGTGTCTGTGTCTCTTTGTGTGTGTGTTTGTGTGCGTGTGTGTGTGAGTGTGTCTGTGTTTTCTTGTGTGTGTGTCTGTGTTTACTCGTGTGTGTGTGTGTCTGTGTTTACTTGTGTGTGTGTTTGTGTGTCTGTGTTTACTTGTGTGTGTCTGTGTCTCTGTGTGTATTTACTTGTGTGTGTGTCTGTGTATTACTTGTGTGTGTGTGTGTGTGTGTGTGTGTCTGTGTATTACTTGTGTGTGTGTGTGTGTGTGTGTGTGTGTCTGTGTTTACTTGTGTGTGTCTGTGTCTCTGTGTGTATTTACTTGTGTGTGTGTCTGTTTTTTAACTTTTGTTTTTATTATTTATTTTGTGTGCTCCTCATTCCTACTCGTCTGTAACTGGCGAGGCAACACTGGAATTTCCCCACCGTGCGACAAATCTCTCTCTAAATCTTCATCTTAAAACTGATTTGTAAAATACACACACAACTCATATCTCACCACTACATCTGGTCAGAGAGTGTTTTGGTCCACACTCTCGCTAATGTCAGGGGCTCGTTATGGTCTTAGCACTTAGACACTGTTTTCCTCCTAATTTCCCAGAATGCTTTGTGTCTGTGCGAAGGCCTGGAGCCGTTTGCTTTGTGTGACTCCAGCCGAGAAGCTAATTAGGAACATCTCCACTGTTTCTACCTCAATGCTTTGTTTTGGGCTCATTCTTTAAAAGCGCTCAGAGCTAAAGATGCTAATGCTAACTCTTTAGCCTCCCCTCAGGCTGAAGTAACTTATTGTAGTAGTTTAAAGTACAGTCTTATTGTACAGAAAATTCAAAGAAAACAAAACTTGATTCCAAAGACTTTTTTGGCTTGAGACTGAAAAAAGGTGGTAGCAACACAATGGAAGCCCCCTCCGTCACTGTCTCACCGTCAATGGATCTGGTCATACACATACAGTACTTTGTCTACTTGGAATTTTCCACTAAATGTGTATAAACTGAAATATACATGAAGGGGAGGCTGAGTGGTTAGCCATCTCGCCTCGCAGCAAGAAGGGTCTGGGTTTGATTCCATCTCCAGACAGGGCCTTTCTGAGTGCTGGTGTAGGTTTCCTCCAGGTGCTACGGTTTCGTCCATGTGCTACGGTTTCCTCCAGGTGCTACGGTTTCGTCCATGTGCTACGGTTTCCTCCAAGTGCTACGGTTTCCTCCAGGCGCTACAGTTTCCTCCAGGTGCTACGGTTTCCTCCAGGTGCTACAGTTTCCTCCAGGAGCTACGGTTTCCTCCATGCGCTACAGTTTCCTCCAGGTGCTACGGTTTCCTCCAAGTGCTACGGTTTCCTCCAGGCGCTACAGTTTCCTCCAGGAGCTACGGTTTCCTCCAGGTGCTACAGTTTCCTACAGGTGCTACGGTTTCCTCCAGGTGCTACAGTTTCCTCCAGGAGCTACGGTTTCCTCCAGGAGCTACGGTTTCCTCCAGGAGCTACGGTTTCCTCCATGTGCTACGGTTTCCTCCAGGAGCTACGGTTTCCTCCAGGTGCTACGGTTTCCTCCAGGTGCTACGGTTTCCTCCAGGTGCTACAGTTTCCTACAGGTGCTACAGTTTCCTCCATGTGCTATGGTTTCCTCCAGGTGCTACGGTTTCATCCATGTGCTACAGTTTCCTCCAAGTGCTACGGTTTCCTCCAGGTGCTACGGTTTCCTCCAGGTGCTACGGTTTCCTCCAGGTGCTACAGTTTCCTCCAGGTGCTACGGTTTCCTCCAGGTGCTACAGTTTCCTCCAGGAGCTACGGTTTCCTCCATGCGCTACAGTTTCCTCCAGGTGCTACGGTTTCCTCCAAGTGCTACGGTTTCCTCCAGGCGCTACAGTTTCCTCCAGGAGCTACGGTTTCCTCCAGGTGCTACAGTTTCCTACAGGTGCTACGGTTTCCTCCAGGTGCTACAGTTTCCTCCAGGAGCTACGGTTTCCTCCAGGAGCTACGGTTTCCTCCAGGAGCTACGGTTTCCTCCATGTGCTACGGTTTCCTCCAGGAGCTACGGTTTCCTCCAGGTGCTACGGTTTCCTCCAGGTGCTACGGTTTCCTCCAGGTGCTACAGTTTCCTACAGGTGCTACAGTTTCCTCCATGTGCTACGGTTTCCTCCAGGTGCTACGGTTTCATCCATGTGCTACAGTTTCCTCCAAGTGCTACGGTTTCCTCCAGGTGCTACGGTTTCATCCATGTGCTACAGTTTCCTCCAAGTGCTACGGTTTCCTCCAGGTGCTACGGTTTCCTCCAGGTGCTACGGTTTCCTCCAGGTGCTACAGTTTCCTCCAGGAGCTACGTTTCCTCCAGGTGCTACGGTTTCCTCCAGGTGCAACGGTTTCCTCCATGTGCTACGGTTTCCTCCAGGCGCTACAGTTTCCTACAGGTGCTACAGTTTCCTCCAGGTGCTACGGTTTCCCCTACCACTAAAAATTGTTGAATGAATGAATGAAGCCTGTATCACAGACTCAGGGTCCAGCATAGACACAAAAAAGACAGAACATACAAGTTAAAAAGACTAAAAACATCAACAGTAGCTCCTCCCCTCTCTCTGGGGTCAGGACTCCCTCGACAAATAAATAACTAAGTAATCATTATTTATATAGAGCATGTTGTGGGAACTTGTCTCTCACTCTGCACAGAGATGGGAGCGGGGTCAGACCTACATGTTTTTAGTGGTAGGGCAAACCGGAGCACCTGGAGGAAACCTACACAGACATGGGGAGAACGTGCAAACTCCACACAGAAAGGCCCTGTCTGGAGATAGAACCAAAAACCCAGACCCTTCTTGCTGCGAAGCGAGATGGCTAACCACTCAGCCACCCTGCCTCCCCTTCGTGTGTTTTCATATATACATGTGGAGGATAATAATGTATGCACATGACTTGACAAATTGACGATGAGACAGGGACTGAGGGGGCTTCCATTGTGTTTGCTATACCACAACCTACGCAGACACGGGGAGAACGTGCAAACTCCACACAGAAAGGTCTGGTCTGGTGTACACTGGGGTAGTCTTGCACAGTTTTTCCCAAGGTGGTTTACTGCAAATGGCAAATACATTCTTCGAATCTTGAATCTTGGTGAGGGAGAATCGAACCCAGGCCGTAGTGACTCACTCTCTCTTATACAGTAAGTACAGTACAGTTTTCAAATGAGTTCTGGTAAAATTCGTTTATAACTTTTCACTTTTTTTCCAAGCCTCTTTCTGCTGCTAAAAACACGTCTTATAGAAATGTGTATCATAGTAATGTATATATGTATTCATTTTTGTTTCCGTTCCCTTGTTTCCGTTCCCTTGTTTCCGTTCCGTTGTTGCTTTTTTGCTCGACCCTCGGTGTGAAAACCTGTCGGAGCACAAGGTTATGCATCCCTTTGTTCTTCCATCTAAATGACATGTGATTTGAGAGCCACATGTAATTTGATTGGCGGTTGGAGCCGGTGATCTCGCTCCATGTTGTAGAGGTCACAGTGAGGAGCGGTGGTTATCGCCGTGGTCAGTTTTCCTCCCGGGGGCGGTGGGCGGCTGCTTTTACACATCCGATTTTACTTCATATTTGTTTTTCTTTTTTTTTTTTGTACAGCTCATAAGAACAGGCAGGTCAAACTCAGGCCCGAGAGCCAAATCCGGCCCACCAGACATTTTTTTGCGGCCCCAAAATGATGTTCAATTATGGGCTACTATGACATTTTTTACTTCATTTGAACCCTTTAACATTGACTCCTTCACGAAAGCATTGACATTTTTGTTTTATTTGGATTTTTTTTCTATAATAATAATGATAACGCATCAATTTTATAAAGATCTTTTTTGGACACTAAAAGACGCTTTACTCCATACACAGTGGTGATAAACTACTACTGTAGCCACAGCTGCCCTGGGGCACACTGACAGAAGCGAGGCAACCAGTCTGTGCCATCGGCCCCTCCAACCACCACCAATCATTCACACACACACCAGACTCTATAGGCAATGAGGGTGAAGTGTCTTGCCAAGGACACAACAGCAGTTTGGCACTTTACAGCCGCAGCCGCCCCAAGGACACAATGACAGCAGACAGAGGGAGTTGATGGTGACAGTCTTGAACCCACAACCTTCTGGCCCCAATGTTTTTACTTGTATGTTTTTTTTTGTTTTTTTAATGATAGGCCTTTACCAAATGGTTGAGATGCAGTTTGTTGGTAAATCACATCTCAATCATTTGGTAAAGGCCTAAATAAAATAAAAACAGGGTTAATAAATACATTACTTTCTTCCAGGAGTGAATGTTAAAGGGTTAAAGGAGATCTATTGACTCAAAATGTGATCTGCCAAACGGTCGAGGAAACCATTAAAGGGTTAAAGCCGATTATCTCAGAAAAACATCCTTAACATTTACTCTGTTCTAAAAGGAAAACTGAAAAGTAATTAGAAGTTACTTATTTCATTTGTTTCTTCTTTATTTATATTTAACTGTCAGTCTTCAAATGCATCTTTTCTTGATATTTTGCACAGTTGTGATTGAATTCAAACATATTAGAAAATAATAAAATAATAGATAAAAAATAATTATATAAAATAATTTAGGGTGGAATGCAGTTAAATTATTAAGACAAAAAATATATAAAAATAAATAAATACAAATTGCAAAGTCATTTAGTCATTTACATCAAGAACTGTTGCCATAGTTTCTTGTATCTTTTCATTCTATTTTATATTCTAATCTTTTTATCTTTTTATCCTTTATCTTTTATCTTGTATTTTTTTTCACCTTTAAAATTTTTTTTTTATCTTGTATATTTTTATTCTAATATATTTTTTTTGTAATAATTTGTCCTTTTGGTGAATCTTGTTTTAAGGCTCAGTCAGAATGTGCTCAATTTAAGAAACATTTTGCCAAATCTGAGCAACTTCTTCCTTACTTTTTATCACTTTTTGCGACGGAAAGGTCTTTCAATGCCGCTTGGATCCTAACCGCTGCACGTAATGTATAAGTGACACCAATGATAAAGTAAAACTGAGCTAAACTAAAGCAAAAGTAAAAGTACAAAGGACTACAGAGAGTGTTTCCCGTCGTGTTTGGTGAGCGTCCCACTCCAGAGGCTCGGAGCCAGTGGAGCGGAGGCCGACTTCAAAGCCCTGGATTCAAACTCAGTCCAATTAAAGGGACGGTGAGGTCTGGACTTCTCACCTGGGCCCTCATCACACTAATGACCTGGAGCCTGGGAATGTGCCTCTGCGATGTGTGGAGCGCCGTGAGGGCCGCGGCATTCCCAACATTCCACCAAACCGCAGCGACACCAGTGGAACCGACGGATTGCAAACAAATCGATTATTGGAAAAGGCGTCAGGTCGTTTCACCGTCAGCTTAAAGGAATAGTTCACCGTTTTTACATACTGACATATGTTCTTACCTTACCTTAGACTAGTTAATACGTACCTGTGTGATCTTAGTCCGTGCGCTCTGTTATGCAAACGGAGCAAAAACGGGAGGACAAATGCAGCCTCCTCTGGTCACTGTGTAGCACCAAAAGGTAGCTCCCGCTAGAAGCTACCAAACTCTTCCAAGTGTTCCCTATTAAATGTATATAGTTACGTGACGTGTTACACTGCAAAGTATAGTAACACAGAAATGTAACTGTCGATTTTCTCAGCGGATAAAACGGGTACTATATTGTGAGGCGTAGTAATCTGAGGTGCGCTACGTCCGCGCACTAACTTCTCTCCGGAGACTTCTCTCTCTCGCTCACTTCCGTCAATAGAAGCAGCGTGACTTGTAGTACGGAGAGAAGTTAGTGCGCGGACGTAGCGCACCTCAGATTACTACGCCTCACAATATAGTACCCGTTTTATCCGCTGAGAAAATCGACAGTTACATTTCTGTGTTACTATACTTTGCAGTGTAACACGTCACGTAACTATATACATTTAATAGGGAACACTTGGAAGAGTTTGGTAGCTTCTAGCGGGAGCTACCTTTTGGTGCTACACAGTGAGCAGAGGAGGCTGCATTTGTCCTCCCGTTTTTGCTCCGTTTGCATAACAGAGCGCACGGACTAAGACCAGACAGGTACGTATTAACTAGTCTAAGGTAAGGTAAGAACATATGTCATTATGTAAAAACGGTGAACTATTCCTTTAAAGGAGCAGCGTGTTTTTAAAAAATGGTCAAAAGTGGTACTGCACTCTCCCTGACTCAGGTTGCCAGATATGCAGACAAATCCAAAAGGACCATAATATCTGAGTAAAGAGTTTTGTCAACAACAAATCTATAACCAAAACCTTTTTCACAAAAATAGAAATCCTGGTTTTATTCCTTGTTTTGTCGTTAATAATTTGAGAATCACAACAAGACTTTTTTTAGTTCTGCAGCCACATGGTATTTAACCAGTGAGATTAGCTGAACGCATCAAAATGAAAACAATAACAATATTTAGAGGCCGTATAAAAAATTCTGAACTCCAAATGTCTCTGAACACTTGTTAAAGAAGTATTGGAAAAGAGCAGGTTTTATTAATGCCTTTTGACAGATTAGGGCCCTCTAATGATGACAGATTAGGGCCCTTTAATGATGACAGATTAGGGCCCTTTAATGATGACAGATTAGGGCCCTTTAATGATGACAGATTAGGGCCCTTTAATGATGACAGATTAGGGCCCTTTAATGATGACAGATTTGGGCCCTTTAATGATGACAGATTAGGGCCCTTTAATGATGACAGATTAGGGCCCTTTAATGATGACAGTTTAGGGCCCTCTAATTATGACAGATTAGGGCCCTTTAATGATGACAGATTAGGGCCCTTTAATGATGACAGATTAGAGCCCTTTAATGATGACAGATTAGGGCCCTTTAATGATGACAAATCAGGGCCCTTTAATGATGACAGATTTGGGCCCTTTAATGATGACAGCTTAGGGCCCTTTAATGATGACAGATTAGGGCCCTTTAATGATCACTTGACATGAAAATCTCACATAATGCTACTTTTTCATTTGCCCGTAATTTGCCGTTAAAAAAATACATTGAAGTAAATGTGCAAAAAATACCCAGTTTCAGAGGAGATTGAGCTCTTTCGGATGTTGCTCCTAAATTATAGAATGAGCTGCTCCTGTGAGTCTCATTCACTTCCTGTTTTTAAGTTTTGTTGATTTTTTGTTGTTGCTGTAAATAGTGTGTGTTTTTGCCAGTGCTTTGTATTCTCTAATTGTAATTTTCTTTAATGTCTTTTTATGTGCAGCACTTTGGTTAAACTTGCTGTTTTTATTAGTGCTTTATAATTAGATTGTCTCTGCCTCTTATGGACCAATGGCTCTATGTGTTTTTTATCTTTGCATTTCCTGAGTTTGAAGTGTTTGATTCTCTGATCTGGATTGTCTTTACTGTTCATGTTTTATTAGGAATTAATTTCTTAATGATTTACCAACGAAGTTATACACAAAGTGGCTTATACCTCATCAGCAAATGTATTCTTATTTCAAGCTAAAGAAATAATATAACAAAGTTTTAAAGCCCCCTGACAAATCAGGTCAAAAACAACATAGATAAATTATTAACCATAAATGATCTATGTTACATTTTGCATAAGTCTCTGGATTAAAGACACAATCCACAAGTTTGTAAAGCTTCAGATGTTATTGTGTTTGTTGGTTTTCTGAAATATTACAGTGAGATGCAGATATTAACTCAATCACATACCGATGTAAACGTGTTTGGTTGTGTTGAAATGTTCAAAGTTACAAATGGCTAAAGCTGCGGTGTGTCTCCCCCTGTTGGTCAAAGCAGGTACACAAAAAGCACCGGTGGTATACTGTAACAGGAAAAACCAAACCAGAGATGAAATAAAAATCAAAGTGAGGTTTATTAATGTAGTTTATTAAGAGCACGATACAACAAGCGGTCCCTGTGAGCTGTGAGCCCTGTGAGTAAAATTACTGCACAGTAAATATACAGTAAACAAACACTGTGCTGTACTGTACTACTGTATCTACCGGCGGCACTTGGAATTCTCAGCTAAAAGGTCTTTCTCTCTGTGTCTGCTTAGGTTTCCTCCGGGTCCTCCGGTTTCCCTATACCACTAAAAACATACAGTACAATAGGTAAATTAGGCATGTCCAAACTCAGGCCCGTGGGCGAATCACGGCCCTCTGCTTCTGACACAAAGTCGCCGTTGAGGCCCTTTGACAGTGTCATCCAACCAACTTCAGCTCCACCAATATTGTTATACTGTATATTCTGACATTTGTTTTATGATCGTGTCACAACATTCCAAATAAAATGCAGCTGCAGTGGGAATAAATATGGAAAAATCAAAACCCACTTTAAATTCCAGCATCCAGTCAATCCAGCTTGATTCCAGTTTTTTTAATCCATTGTTTCAGCCCCAGTTTAAGTCTGATGAACTAAAGTGGCCCTCTATAAAGTTTGGACACCCCTGAGGTAAATCCTCCAGCCCTGGTCCTGCCTTGGGTCAAATGCAGAGGATGAAATGCCAAAAGGAGATTATTAAAGTGCTCCTTTAGTGTATCTGCCGTCTTGGATTTCAACCTTTTATTTTCGTCCTTTTATTTTATCTTATATAGAAAATTACACATCTATACAATATTATAAAACGCACATCTATACATGTAGAAAAACTCAATCAATATTATAACAATTAAAATCCCACAGGGCATTTAAAAACTCACATTAAGAACACAGCAAATATTAAAAACGTACAAAAAAATCTTAACAGTACATTAAAAAGAATGAAGACATAGTCCTTCAGTTCTAGCACAGCTGAACAGTTTTAAACCTGGATTTCAAACTAGCTGTGAAGAATCCTGTCTCTCATTTTCAGGAAGACTGTTCCAGACTTTTTTGCTGCTGTTTATTTTCAAACAGTGCATTTTACAGACAAAGTTCACCCAAAGCCCTCTACAATCGTTGAGAGTTCAGATATTTCTCTATTCTATACCTACTGCACATGTTGTTAGTGGAGTAGGGAAAACCGGAGCACTTGGAGTAAACTTAGGCAAACACGAGGAGAACATGCAAACTCCACACAGAAAGGCCTGAAGGTGGAAACAAACCCAGTCTAGACAACATTCAGAACAACAATATTACAAATGTCATTTTCTCTGTTTGAATTGTGCTGCAGACAGAGGCCTAAAGAAAGCACCAGAAAAGCTAAACATTTCTTACTATTTGTTTTATTTCTGTATAAAATTGCCATAAAACATGTTCTGAACTTTCTCAAAAATTCCACAGAGAAATTTGAAATACAAATAAAGCTATTCTCTCTGGTCTGTTATTTTAAAATAAGTAAATAATCTTTATTTATATACCGCCTTTCACAGACCAGAGACACAAAGCGGTTTACAATTGTTAATTTTTGGGCATTTGTCTCTCACTCCACACAGAGATGGGAGCAGAGCCAGTACAGGAGGCACATGCCAGAAAGGCCCTGATCCGACCGGGAATCGAACCCAGGACTTTCTTGCTGAGAGGCGAGAGTGCTATCCAGAGTGCAGACTAGTTTTTCTGCCGCTTTGAGCTAAACATAGATTTATTATTTTAATTCCACATTTATATTTTTGTAGTTTCCATACAAAAATAATGTGATTAATCTAATGTATTACCGTTGGCTTGGGTTAGGGTTAGGGTTAGTGCAGACAATAGACAGTCAAATAAAAATACAGCGCAATTCTTTAACCTTGTCGTTGTCAATAATGTGATTTTTCTGACATTTTCCGTTGAAGGACTGGGAAGGACTAATTCTGACATATTACATAAAAATATATTCAAATTTGATACATTCCGGGAACGTTTTTGGTCATTTCCATAAGTGGATAAAATTCCGTCCAATCAGAGGGCTCTGTTGTGTTGCTGTGCGGTTGCCGTGCGGTTGCCATGACCTCATCTTCATAGTGTTTGTGGATCACTGCGCACCGGCACTTTCCCTCTTTGTTTTATTGAAGTGGAGGCCTGTGTTATAATCGCATCAGAGAGAGACAAAAGAACCGTCCAATCAGAGACTCCGACACTGACTACAATACAATGATAATAATTTAATAATAATAATAATAAGGAACCTTAGTGAGCTATATATAGATACAATAGACAGTGGTAATTCAGTTTTTATACTGGGCGGTGCAGTGGTTAGTGTTTGTGTTTCACGGTAAGAAGGTCCAGG